TTAAAATTTGTGACACCTTAAGGTTTTCCTTTTAATTGTTTGAGATTTTCAATTAAATTGATTAAAGGTAATTTATAAAAAAGTGAAAATTCATTAAAAAGTACAAGAATGAAGCCTTATGATGATGGACTATATTTATTAGAAATGCTTCCATTTTTTTACATCCAGCATCTGACTTAATCTTTACAAAAAGTCTATGAACCTAGGATTATTATTGATGCTGTAAAGTGTTTAATGCTAAAAGCTGAGGGACTTATGAAAGCTTCTATAAGTAAAAAGGTAAGCAGACATAGATGTAATTCTAGACTCTGATTCCAAAGCAAGTATACATAGTCTTTCTGCAACAATTCTTCGGAATATAATAGGTTAAATGGTTTATAATTCTGTTTTATTGTGGCAACAAAGGACATCTTCTCCATAATAAAATTACCTAATTTTGATGTATCCGGGGGAATTGGAATGAAAAAAATTAAAAGAGGACAATACCCTTTTCTTATTTTATGCATCATTTGTCCTAAAACTTAGACCATAAATATATAATCCATTTCATGATTTTCATTCCAATGATTGTAAAAGGACATCATCCATGAAATGCCCCAGAACATTCATGGTCAAGAACAGATGAGTCAGGGACACAAAAGCAAATGACAATTGTTGCAGAGGTGCTTTAAGAAAATGCCATCAGGAAAGAAGGAAAAGAGCTTAAACCCTCAGCATCACTATTTCAAGCGCCTGGAGCCCTCTCTCCTCTGCAGGACTCTCAGGACAGCATTTTTCACCTCTTTGTTGCGGAGGCTGTAAATGAGTGGGTTCAGCATGGGGGTCACGATCGTGTAAAACACAGAAGCCACCTGGTCCTTTCCCAAGGAGTAGGATTTGCTTGGTTTTAAATAAGTGAAGATCATAGTACCGTAAAAGATAGTGACAGCCAAGAGATGGGAGGCACAGGTGGAGAAGGCTTTTCTCTTTCCTGAAGCAGAATTAATTTTCAGGATAGTGGAGAGAATAGACACGTAGGATGCTGATATTGTGATAAGAGAGACCATGAGGGTGGAGCCAGCAAAAATGAAAATCATGATTTCTGTGCCCTGGGTTTCTGTGCAAGACAGGGCTAAAATTGGGGACGTGTCACAGAAAAAATGATGGATTATGTTGGAGTTGCAGAAATGCAATATTCTCATACAAAGCTCATTGACTAAAGAATCTATAAACCCTACAACATAGGACCCGAAAACAAGGGAGCAGCAGCGTCTTGTGGACATGACGACTGGGTAGTGGAGAGGATTGCAGATGGCTACGTAGCGGTCATAGGCCATGGAGGACAGAAGAAAACATTCAGCACCACCCAAGAAGATAAAAAAATACATTTGGGTGAAGCAATTTGCGTAGGAAATCTTCTTGTTGGAGGTCAGTAAGTTCCCTATTGTTTTAGGAGTGATGACAGTTGAATAACAGAGGTCAATGAAAGACAGGTGACTGAGGAAGAAATACATGGGGGTGTGCAGCTGAGCATCCAGGCGGATGACCATTATCATGCCCGCATTCCCCAGCACGGTGACCAGGTAGATCAGCAGAAACAGCACAAAGAGCACCAGCCGGATGTCCTCAGCATCTGCAAATCCCAGAAGGATGAAGTAAGGCGCGTCTGTGTTATTCGCTCTATGCATTATGCTCCACTGCTTCACCTGTGGAGAAGTCAGAGCTCATATTTAGCAGAAATGACTTCAAAAACATGCTCTTATGAATGATCGGGAACATGTATATTAATTTGATGGTTCTAGTTTGATAGTAATGGGTGATATACTAGATATGATGAGAAAAAAATAATGAATTTTTCTGTCCAGTACGTAGATGGGTTAAATTTATAATTGGCTATAATGTAATAAAATAGGATATAGTAATTGGAATAAATCTGAGCTTTCTAAATGCTTTCGTTTCTTAATTAATTTATTCCACATGAAATAGTACACCATATTACTGCTACCCATATATTTTAATGAGGAAAAGGACATAGTGCATGAAATTTATCTTAAGTCAGAACTCTTAAATAATGACCATAGTGCATGAAATTTATCTTAAGTCAGAACTCTTAAATAATGACCTGTGAGTCTCAAAGAGAGACTGAATCCACAGAAGTTAGTCAAATATCATGTTCCTCATTCTTATTAATTCATCAGGCCTATAAAAACAATACACATATATAAAGCGTAATAAAAATGGTATGAAGAATCATGTACTATTCCTTTGCTTAGACCATTACTTTATATAGATGATACATATCAAGTTTAATACTTTGTGGGATCTTTTAGAGTAATTAATACTAATTAAAATCAGTACCAGTTTCCAGAAGCAATAATGTTTCAAAATGCATCCATTTAATATCAAAGTATGCCCAGATTATATTACTAATGTACTAACATGGCTTGGAGTCCCTGATTCTATTAACTCTTTGTTTCTCTTTCCCCAGGTACAGGCATCACTTAGGGAAAAGTCTTAGTGACATGTGTGCATATTCTTCCCACAGATGTCTTTTCATTGGATCCACTAAAACCCTGCAATTTTGAAAATAGTACTTACTGTGATTCAAAGTCGGTTGTAAACACAAAATCCTTCTTCCAGTGTATCACTCTAGAAACGGTTCAACCTAAATCTTTCATCAAAAATAAAATACGAAAACCATTTGAGTCGAAAATTTCTGTAATATATGTGTTTTCTTTGAGATAACTTCTTTTTTAACATCTGGTCATGCATTTTTTTTTTTTTAGTTCTAATGTAAATCAAGCTAGGAATTGTTAAAGGTTCTGATCAAGCGCACATTTGCTGTCAGCGACTAATATGTCATTAGTGATTTTTAGGGAGCTACTGAGAATAGAGCAGAGCAGCTTTGCCTGTCTCTGTCCAGGGCACTTCATATATTGGGAATGGTGATAACACATCATTTGGTCATCCTTGAGGGACTAATTTCCAAAGAAGGCTGTTTGGCCTTTTTCCAAGGACAGAAGCTCAAGGACTCTGTTTCGAAAAAAATAGTTGCTTTGTCCCTTAGAAACCAACTAAAGCAGAGGCTGGGGTTTGGACTTCTATTGCGCAGAATCAAATTTTTGACAAATCAGTGAAGAAAATATTTCTAGATACAACCATAATTAATGTGTTTTGAAACCTTCAATATTTCCTATAAAGAAATATATTCACATTTTATAATGTGATTATAGTATGACTTTACCAGAGTATGTTGCGTTGGTGCGTTAACAAAGTATGTTTGCACTGACCATTACACTGAAACAAATAAAGAATTTAAGCTCTTTGTCTCATAATGAAGATGATAGAAATACATGTTTTAGAATGCTTTTTATTCTTGGTAGAGAGTTTTATAGAGAGATCATCACCACACCTCCATGGAAACAGTTTCCGCACATACAGGAAAGCTCTGCCCTCCTTTCTTCACACACTCTGGTAAATACACCTGCACACATGTGAACATGCGTGCACCATATGCTGAGACTGAAAGTATTGGTAAATCAGAGGTGTTGTTACCAAAAACCATGGACCAAGAGTCCAAACCACAGTAATTTATTTCTCACTGTCCTACTGATAGATTGGCTAGGCCTTGTGTGAGGTAATGTGAGAATTCCAGCAGCATTGTTAAGACTTTACTCAGGGCCCTCCCTGGTGGCGCAGCGGGTTAAAGCGCAGCACTAAGAAGCTAAAGCCACTTCCGCATGAGTTCGATTCCCGCCTGCCTGGGAGGAGACCACATGGCGCGGCAGACCTCTCCTGGCCCGCCTGCTGCTCCCCTCATATACTTCGTCGATCTGC